ACATGTTTTCCCATCTCTACTCTACACTTATACATCACCATGTCAATTTTAAACATGGGGAATTGATATCATCGGAAAAATTACGCCTCCTAAGATAGGAGGACACGAATACATTCTAGTAGCAATCGACTACTTCACGAAGTGGGTTGAAGCATAGTCATATGCTAAACTCACCGCAAAACATGTAGCACTCTTTATCGAAAGGAACATTATTTGTCGATATGGAGTCCCACATGAGATGATAAGTGACAATGGAACTCACTTTGAAGAAGAATGTGAAGAATTGCTACAAAAGTATGGTATTCAACACCATCATTCTTCTCGTTATGGACCTCAAGGAAATGGAGCAGTTGAGGCGACTAAAAAGAATTTAAAGACTATTATTGAGAAAATGACAGAAAATTACAAGGATTGGCCTAACAAACTCTTTTTTCACTTGAGGTTATTGCTCGTCAATTCATACATCAACAGGAAATACGTGATTCTCCTTAGTCTATGGAATGGATGTCGTACAGCCTGTAGAGCTAGAGATACCTTCTCTATGCATTGCATTGGAAAGTAAACTTGATGAAGTCAAATGGACTAGGGCAAGATATGAAGATCTAATTCTACTCGAAGAAAAGTGACTAGAAGCTCTACATCATACCCAATTCTATCAAACCCGTATGGCTAGACACTTTAATAAGAAGGTCAAGACAAGAAACATCAAAGTATGAGATCTGGTGTTAAAAGAACTAAGGAAAAATGTTTTGAATCCAAGAGAAAAATTTAGGCCTAATTAGTCTAGACCATATAGCATCAAAACCATCTTGTCAGGAGGTGCAGCAAAACTAACTAATATGGATGGTAATGAGTTCTCAAACATGACGAACCTTGACCAACTTAAAAAGTACTACCCATAATTACTTGAGTAGGATACAAAAGTGTGCTACGTTTGGTCTGATTCCTTATGAAAGGATACGTAGGCAACCCTTTATGGGGTGTGGCCACTTTAATTTTCACAAATATCGCATCCCAGCATCAACAAAAATTCGCCCAACATCAACGCAAAGTAAAAAGTCTGTCGCTAGACGATAGACTACAGCGCCAGGCGACAAAGTGCAGCGCCTAGCGATGAAAGTAGCATCTGACGACAGACTTAAAATCACGGCGCCAATTTTCAGCGAATATCTGGGGATATTTCGGTGTATTTCAAAAAAATTTAAACTTCTTTACTCGAGAAATTTTCTGGAAAATAATTTAAGTTGTTTTCATTGCTTTAATAAATTAAATATAAAAAGTTAATTTAATTAAAAAGCTGAAAATTGCATTGATAAAATAAAGTAAAATTAAATTATTGATGAAATTTAAATAAAATCTTAATAAAATAAATTTACTTAAAAATTAAACTTGTCTAATAAATTGGAAGTTAAGCAATGCTTCAATCTTTCTTCACTTTCTTTGCTCTTTTCCAATTCTTGTCAGTTTCTTCCTCATCATCCACTACTTTAGCTAGTAGGCATCTTTTAGAGGACCTACATTTAATCTTGGAGTAATTAGTTTCTCCTTTAGCTAGGACACCATGTTTCTTTTCCACCCAAATGTTCTTTTCTGAAGAGTCAACTTTTCTTATCTCTTTGCCTTTAGTATGGTTTTAATTTCTAGAAACATATGATTATCATAATGTAAGCTATATAATTTTCCATTCTACAATCTTGACAATATTTCCTGAACAACACAACATAATTTCCAGATTCCATATTATGTTGCAATTGTGAAAGCATGAATATGAATTTGCCAATTTGACTACCAAAATTTTATACCTTTGATAACCTTTAAATTAAAAAGGGGGCTAAAAAATCAACAATAACATTTAAATCCAAGGAAAGTCACCGAATTATGGTTTTCAAATCAATGAAAATTTTGTTTACAATACATCATGATTAATCTACAAAATCAATAATACAAGGATAATTCACAGAAATTAAAAAATTAAAACCATAATTCAAGAGATAACAAATAATTAGTAGTAGTAAAATAGATAACTACATAAAAGAGAGAGGATACGTAACCGACCTACTACCTCACTGCCGTTAATGCGTCGACCTTAAATTCGCTGTCACCGCTGCCTCACCGCTGTCAATTGCTTTAAATCCGAACCGCCGGTCACCGCTACCTCACATACATATTAAATAAGTTAGGGTTTATGGCTGAATTAACGAATGAATTAGCTAAAGAAATTCTGATTGTTACAAAGCAATGCAAAAATAATGGAAGAACAACCTCTTCAATGGCGGCTTTCGGTTTGGTTAGAGCAAAGAGAAGAGAAATTGGAGGTTTTTTTAACGGATGAGAAGGGAAAATTGTTTGATCGTGGGTAAAGGGTTAGTTCTTTTAGTAGCAGTAAAGTATTTTAATTTTTTTTTTAGGGGAAGTAGTACTGAAAATTTTGCATCACTAGTCTTATGAATTTTTTTTGGGGAATTTCAATGAAAGCGGTGTTTTTTCCGCCAAATTTTTAGTGGGATTTGGGAAACCAAATAAAATACCACTCAGCTTTTTTTTAATAAAAATAGACAACGAATTAAGTTATTTGTCGCCCAATAATGGAAATAGGCAACCAAGTTATATTTCGTGGCCCAAAAAAATAATAAAGGGCAACACATCCACTGTTTTGTTGCCCATATATCTATATAGGGCAACAAAGAAATAACTTGTTGCCCATAATTTTATTTTGGGCGACACACACTAGTAGAAAAACGTACATTTGTGTCGCCATATTTGCGTCACTCATTTTAAGGAGCGAAGCAAATGTTTATTTTTACCATCCTTTTAAGTTATTTGCGTCGCATGTTATTCAAGAAGCGACACAAAACTCAAGTGCATTTTAGCTTTCTCTCATTAATTAATAAACTTATTTGCGTCACTCATTTGTTAACAAGCGATGCAAATAAGTGATTAAGTAAATTGCGTCACACTTTTACTACATGAGCGACGCATATGAGCTTTGTACAATATCATAAACAAGGTTATTTGCGTCGCTTTTTTATAATAAAGTGACGCAAATAACTCTTTTGGCTTTAGGTTTTCTGCGTTTTTTTTACCTTAGTTTTTCTTCACATGCGCCTACATTCACTAATCAAAAAGAAAAAAAACAAGAGTTCTTCAATTCTAGTGAATTTCTACAGCAAAACACCCACAAATTCGTCTCTGAAATCCAACAAATTAGGCCAAAAAACTGCGATTCCCCAGCAAATTTAACATCTAAATTAAAATTGCAGTCAAGTTGAAGCAAATCCGAGCAATTTCGAGCAAAAATTTAGACCAAAAACCCCAAGAAATTCGAACCCTTAGACCCAGAAAAATTGATTGTTTCCGACCAAAAATCCCCCATTTCGAGCAAAAAATCAACTCAAACGCGTTTCAGAATTATAGGTTTGATCCTCAGTTGTATGTTCAGTCCAAATACTCTCTTAATGAGAAGGTAATTTGATTTTTGTGTTTAAGTCCTTTAATTTTGTTCTTAATTTGTGTTCATTTCTGTTGAAATTAAAATTTCGAGTTTGTCAGAAATTGTGATTTTCTTGTTTTTATTTATTGTTGATTATTTGAAATTAGAAGAAAGAGAGGAATTTTAATTTATTTTCAATTAATTTTTAGTTGATAATGAAGAATGAACAAATGATAGAATGATGATTGATGGATAGTCTAAATATAGGAAGAGTGCCGAATTGCCGAATTTAGTAGGCTTATTGCTGAGATTATCGGATGGGAAGGGGAGGGCGTGTCTGCATTTGAAGGAAAATCATGATGAAATGATTCCAAAGGGCGGTACTAGAAACCAAAGCAGTTCTAATTTAGGAATTTTAGTACACAACAAAGGTGATGATTCATCTTAAGGGAAAGAGAGGGTGTCTAAATTTGAGGGACAATCATGATAAATTTTGAGGACTGCACAATAACCCAAGTTAGTTTTATGTTTGGAATTTTAATAGACAGCAAGGTGAGGATTCCTTTTTTATTTCGGCATGTACGGTTATGATCTTTTTGCTCTATGTAGAACGACATTTGGGGATGGAAGTAAACTGATGGGATGTGTAATTCATTTTAGGATATATATGAAGGTGCTAATTGTCTATTTTGGGAATTGATACAAACAATCATTTTGATTCCATGAAACAGTAAGCTGGTTACTAAGGATGATGTCAAATTTGTGAGTGTACTGTAGTTTCTTGATAGAACCTTACTAGGTGGCATGTTATTTCACCCAAATTTATCATTAGTTTCATTCTTGTAGGATGCCATTCAGCCATTCCTCATCAAGCTAACTGAGAAATATGATAAAAAAATTGTTCTTGAACCCCCATAAAGAATGAGTTAATTATTGGGGCTTTGATCACTAGAGTTAGACAACTTCAACAGCTAAGTTTGGTCATTGATAAGCTAGGAATGACAGGAGTAACAAGTTCATTCGATGTGAAGCTGTAGAAGGTACTGACAGCAATAGAAAAAAAGAGAAAAGACATGGATTAGTATAAGATCTAAATTCCATGTAGTGTCCTCAACAATTGGGTGGACGTGAGTGTGGCTACTACGTCATGCGTTATATGTACGAAATACTTGACATCACCATAGCAGTGAGGATCTTATTCAGGTATGAGTTGTCAAATATTTCATTTTTGTTTGATAAATACAATTTGATGTTAGCTACAATCTTGAATTAAAACTTTCCTCTTGTATATTTGTTGTGTTGATAGGATTTTTCAAGAACTACACCGTACACCGAGGAGGAGATAAATGAGATTCGAGATATTTGGGCAGAGTATTTTATATGTAATGTTGAACTTTAGATTTACACTTAGCGCATGTTGGACTCTTGTTTTGGATTATAGGCTTGAAATGAATGAATTTGGTTAATTGGTGTTGGGATGATGAGTATAATGTCTATGATATTGAGATGTAATTTATTAGACAGGTTGTTAATATAATTTCGTCATTCCCAATTTTACGGGTAGGCCAAATTACAAAGGAGACTCTGCCGAAATTTACATTTGCATTATTAAATAATATTGCATTTTAATTTCAATTATATTAGCGTTAGCATATTAATTTATACCACTAGTAAGGAAAACAGGTACTACAAACATATACAAGGAAATTATTATAATTAGAAAAAAAAAATAAAATTCACCTCATTTGCGTCACTCATTAAACAAACAAGTGACGCAAATAACAAAAAAGAATTTTATCAGAAGAGTCATTTGCGTCGCTCCTTTATAAAGGAGTGACGCAAATGTCATTTGCGTCGCTCCTTTATAAAGGAGTGACGCAAATAACAAAAAAAAAGTTTATCAGAAGAGTCATTTGTGTTGCTCCTTTATAAAGGAGCGACGCAAATGACTCTTATTTGCGTCGCGCCTAGGAGTGACGCAATGACTTAAAAGTCATTTGCATCGCGAGCAGTTGCGTCGCTCATAGAAGCGACGCAAATACACTATAAATGAGCGACGCAAATGAGCCTTTTTCTACTAGTGACATTAAATCTCGTCACACAAAAAATCAATAATGTGCAACGAAAGGAAGTTTTGTTGCCCTTACTAAACGCACTCGTCGCCCAAAAAGCTTTTTCTTGTAGTGTGTCCTTCGTTTTAGGCATCATAGGAGTCTTGAACTCAAATCTTTCACCTAAGCGTTCCTTAACAGGACTTATGTTGTCACCCAGACGATTCTTCACATTAATTCTACTTTGATCTTTCTTCTTGTCCTTTTTAGGCTTATTAAGAAGCCAATTCTTCACATCATTGGGTAAAGAAGGAGGAACCTTTTGGGTAACCACTTCCCATAAAGGCCTAGCACTCCAAAAAGTGTCAAACCTCTCTACTTCTTGAGAAACAGGGATTTCATAGGGACGACGAAGATCTCTAGAAGGAATCGTTTGAATAAGATTGTACTGCCTTTTTACCCTGCAGGGATAATAAAAAGTCATCTTGGTTAAGCTTGGAAGACGGCAAAAGGGTTGCTTGTTGACACCAACCATCTTCTCAATTTTACACCATGGGATGACCTATCTGATAGCAAAATTACGAGAGGCGAATATTTTTGCTCCACTCATGGCGAACCATCTTTATAGAGAAACACTTCTTTCGCCTCACAAAGCAGTTTGGAGTGTATTTTTCAATTTTTGTCGGGACGACTAATTAATTCTAGCCTCTCCATTAGCCACATATGCAACAATTCAATGCAAATAATTAATATTACTATACAAAAATATATGTTTTTGATTTTTGTAATTTAAAATATTATTTTTCAACCAGTAATAACATTGGAGAGCCTAAAAAAGGTGCTTTTGGATTTTTCTTTAATTCATCTAGACTATGCATAGTCTCTCCCACAATTAATGGCATTGGATTCCTTCCAGATTTAATTTGTTCCAAGACGGATATTATAATTGCTTGACCCTCATTATTTCTACCACTAGTGATAAGATATTGGTTAAGCATGCAAAATAGAAAGCCCTTCTTCTATAAACATGAAAAGACTAAGAATATTGTCTATCAAAGTAGTGGCATGCAAATTCTTTTAGATTAACTACGCTACCATGTACAATATTTGTTAGATCTCTGTCTTTTAGATTAAAGAAGCGCTCAAAATCTTAATAATAATACTCACTAAAATTACGAATTACCGCAAGATCTAATGAAGGAAAGCCTAGAATGCCACCAAATTCTTCCGATAAAGGGCTAATTTCATCATAGTCTAGTCTTAAGCAATGTGTGTATGGATCCCAATATTTTAAGGCGGTATTAATAAAATCTATGTCAATATCTACCCCCTTAATACCATAAATACCTCCAAAATAGAAAAACTCAAGTTCTTTTCTCTCCTAAGCGGTCAAAGACCGACACCACTCACGAGTAAATTCACTAAAACTCTTAGTGACTAAAGGCATGATTACTTGTTGAGAGACTAAGGTTATAATTAATGATTAATCTATTGAATTATACAGAAGTCGGCAGATTAGGGGGCTATTTATGCACAAAACTAGTACAGTTCGACTCCTAAACGGATTTGGAGAAAAAAATTACAGCGCCTGGCGACAAGTGCAATGCTTGGCGACGAAATGCAGCGCCCAGCGACGAAGAGGCGGTGCAACGCCTGCTCAACCACTATGCAAACCGTGTTATTCTAACTACAATTCGATTTTGTACATTGACTTTACAATTACGCCCCTTGTTCAATCACCCTATACATAATATTCAATATATTTTTCCTGTTTTTTTCTTGAATTTAATCGAGCTTAATTAAATTTAGGCTTATTTTAGTCCAAACTAAACTATTTTTAATTCTTTTTTGGGGGGAGAAAGTCGAATACCCTCCATCAATAATGAAAATGACGGAAATTTTTGTGCGCGAAATTTAATCACAAATTTTGCACACACGCATATGCACATAAAATTAAAAAAAATGCAAAGATAATGCAAACAAAATATATTATAGTTTGTACATACAATATGTCTAAAAGGTAAGTCATATAATTCAAACTGGCAAAGTCCTACAAAGTCAAAATAAATAAAACGCACATGTACAACTATGGTGCCGGAGGGCGCATATGAGGAGGAATGTTCATCATATCAAGGAACATCGCAGACCGAGGAGTATGCTCCTCACCAGCTCCAGACTCGCTAGTAAGCGGGAACCTCAAATCTGGGCCAGTCCACTTAGGCTTACCCTAATACTGAATCGACAAAGGAAAAGGCTGATGTGGCTGCTACGACGACAAGCCAAACTCATACATCCCACCACCCATCGGAGGAGCCGATGTCGCGCCTCCTTGGCCCATTGGCCCAATCTGTGCGCCCTTAGATGAAGAACCCAAACCCTCCAATGTCTCGGTACGAGCGGCATCCGATCGGCCACCCCAGCTTGCCTAAGGTGAATCCAAAAGTACACTTGGATGGATTCAACCTCATATTGTATTTTCTTAGCCTTTCGAAAAATTTTGTCAAGGCTATTTGTTGTCCTGGGCGATCTTTTGATTTCATAATCATGTCGTCCACATATACCTCAACTTCTTTGTGCATCATGTCATGGAGTAAGGCAGTCGTTGCTCGTTGGTAAGTAGCACCCGCGTTTTTCAACCCGAATGACATTATTGTCTAATAGTAAGTACCTCATTGTGTTATGAATGTTGTTTTCTCCATGTCTTCTTCTGCCATGAGAATTTGATTATACCCCGTGTATCCGTCCATAAACGAGAGAAGTGCATGATTTGTTGTATTATCTACCAAAATATCAATGTGTGGTAAAGGGAAGTCGTCCTTTGGACTTGCCTTATTTAAGTATCGATAGTGGACACACATTCTGTCCCTTCCAGCTTTCTTTGGAACTGGGACGACGTTGGCTACCTATTCGGGGTATTTGGATAACCTGATAAAACCTGCAGTTATTTGTTTTTGAACTTCTTCTTTTATTTTATTAAGAGCTACGTCGTGTTTCATTCGACGCAACTTTTGTTTTACATGTTTCATTCCTGGAATTAGTGGTATAGTGTGTTGAGTTATATTTCTATTAATACGTGGTATATCTTCATATGACCAAGCAAATACATCGATAAATTCTTTAAGTAGATTAATTAAATTGGTTCTTTCTTGTTCATTAAGTGTTAATCCGATTTTAACTTCTCTTTTAATGGTCTAATCTTTTGAGATATCAACCGTCTCAGTTTCCTCAATTATTGGTGTTTTCTTTATAAGTGTTCCATTGCTTTAATAATTTCTTTGTCATTTTCATTGTTAGTTAAGCAATGCTCGTCATCTTGAGTTAATGAAAAACACGAGGAGTAAGCAGAAGAAGACATATTATCAAACTATGAAATCATTACATTAAAAAGGGAAATATCCTTAGGGACTTGATTACTAACTATCCTAAGAGTAGAAATAGAAGAAGGAGGGGGTGCTACAACTAAAGATTTTAATGACTCTGCAGGAAAGGACTCTGACTCAGACGACTCCTCAAACATCGATCCTTGTCCTGTCGTTATAGAGATTTTTCTTCCGCTTGGAGTAGTAACCTTGACCGTCTTGCGCCACACTTGTACTGATCCTTCTACTAGAGTGATGAGCTTTGAAGGGTCAAAGTTCTCGCTTTGTTGGACTATTTGGATGAGCGAGGAGTTATCCTCTTTGTATCTCGGCTTATCTTTTTCTCGCCCAAATAGTAATCCCGTGACAATAAAGTCAAAGCATGGGGGTGCTTTCTCCTTGTGAATAGGAGTTGGGATTTCATCTAGAAAGTAGCAATCTAAGAAGATTTCAAATCTTGGTTTCCTTATGCCATTTACAACAAATGGTTCGGGAAATTCATAGCATGGATAGTTCTTTCCTACTCTTATGAACTGTCTATTGAGAGTAAGAGGATATTGATCCATTGGGATTGATTTCTTTTGGATGCGAGCGTTCCTATGCACCTTAGACCATTCCTGGGTTTGCTTAAGATCTTCTCGAGTCAATTCAAAACCAAGTCCAAAAGTATCTAACTTTGGGAGGCTAGGTAATTCCAGTTGTTTTGCTATCTCTTTCTTCTTTCCTAGAATCATTTTGGGAAAGTGCCCTTGTCTCTTTAGGATAGCATTTACTATCATATTGGAGTGGGGGTCATGACAGAGAGGGGTCCTTTCATCTTCCTTGATTAAGGAGACCACTTCATTAAAGCCCCACAAGTCTTTTTCATCTTCATCGTGCTTGTAGACACCCATTTGTGTCTCCCCAAAACCAAACCCATTGATGAGTACCTTTCACGTCGAATCATAATCGAATGAAGTGAAAGTGTGGAAAGTTTAGTGTTGCGGATAGTTTTAATTTCTTTTCTCTTCTCTCTATTTTGTAAAACGTATTTTAAGAAAACAGCCAATATAGTTTGGTTGGTCCATGATAAGGGTCAAATAGTAGTGTAGTTGGATGGGGCTTGAAAAGATCTTTCCAACAATATATTATAAGCCCAATTCCGATGAATATTAAGGAAG